AGAAAGGAGTGAAATAATCTGTGTAGCTTTGTTAGGTACTGACTAAGATCAGCTGTTTCATCATAGTCTTTTTTATTAAAAGCCCAAAGATCAAGGACAGCTGGGTCCAGTTTCGATACCATACAGTACATCCATTATGACTATATACCATGTACAACACACTAGTAATCCAAAATCCTGCACTAAATAAATCATCTGTAGGCCTACAGTTCTGGAATTCGATCAGTGTTTTGTATTCAATGAACATTGTTTTTCTCAGATGGACTGTTGTACCAAAACTGATTAATTTGAGCCCCTAATACTTGAAGCCAAAGTATACATGCATAGTTGACTTTTTCTAAAATATTAACTTTTCTTGGTAGGTTTTTGCTTTTTTGTTTTCATCGAATTTACCAAGCTATTATTTTTTTCCAGATGTTTTTTGCAATTTTACACCCTCTTAGTTTGGTGAATGCTGGGTCTACGAGAACTGTATTTTTTTAAGTTACAGTAATAGTGTATTCTTTTTCATTCAATATTTTTAATAATTTTGTTTGTACACAAAATTACCAAGAATATGATTATGATACAAATTGTAAGCATTAATCTTCAATTTCTGTAATCCTTACTAATAGAAATTCTTTGTGTTCTCTAGTACGAATATTCCTCTGTGCTATGTTTAGCAGTTTGTTTACTTCTTCACAAACAGTATTCCAATCAGGTGATCAAAACACACACACACACACACACACACTCACCTCTATGACTCATTGCTATCTTATTTACATTCCAATCACTTTCTATTTTACAACCACGTATTTATATTTCCATTTGTTCTTTGAAACATTTGTGTCAAGGTAAAATACACCATTTACCTAGGGAAGCTAGGTTTAAGTTTGAATGTGGAGCCAACCTATAGTTTACCCTATTACCAGCATATATCATTAGCTAGAAAAACAAAAATTTCATTCCCATGTACAGTTGTGCCTAACCTTCTTGTAATGAATCTATAGTAAAAAGTGTGCTCAAAAAGGAACTAAAAGAATCCTTATAATGTACTGTATAAGGCCAAAATCGAAACCACTATGTTTTGAATTTTGTTATAATTTACCTTAAAACTATTTTGATACATTTTTAATACTTTTACAAATTGATTCTCATCCTAGCGCAAACAAAATAAATGGTATGTATCAGCAAACTGACACATACTTTATCACACTATTTTGTCAACAATCCTTTATATCGGGGAAGTGGTGGGAGTAACTATGCTTAAAATCACAAAACATTCAATAAACTACCCACAATTTTTACAGCATTTGGGGGTTGACTTTTCCCATTATTTGATTGGTTTTTATAAAAAAATCTAATTTAAAAAAAATTTAGCGTAACGCCAGGAGATACTATTGATTATCGACATACCAAAATTAATCTAAACTGATTTTTGATTAAAAAATTATGAAAACAATTAGACTATTTGCTCCCTCTACCTATACGGGGATAAAGTAAAAGTAACTTACCTCTGACAAATTAAAGTGAAATCATAAAATGATTTACTCAGAAAGATGAAATTGATTACAGCCTTCTTTTAGTTCATTCAACTGACCATAAGTAATGATTTATTGGAGGAAGCCATCTTATCAGTGACATTGATGAGAGATGACCTTCCAGATCAGTAGGCTTTTTAATACTTCCTTTACAAGGCATCCAACTGAAACGGAAATTCCATAACATCTCAGTCAACTGCTAAGTCTGTCAAATTTTCATCCATTTGATTATTTAAATAATACTGTGATAAATAATGTGAAAAAGGTTTTTGAATTAAATTATTCCCATATATTTAAAATGTTATAAGTTATTGACATATAATTCTTTCACCCTTTCTTTATTTTTCTTTACTCTGAAAATGGAGGTTTGCAGTATCTTTATTATTAAATTTATTTCCTACTAAATATTGTGTATATTCTTCTATGATAACCTAGGGTGAATCCAATAACAAATTACTATTTGGAAAAGTGTTTTAACATATAAACCACCATATACAAACCACCATATATATCGACTACAAGTTAAACAAATATTTACTTGCGCTAGACTGGATAAATAAAATGTCATCCATGTCGTTAATATTTTCACAATACTTTAAAGAGTATCGGTTTCGTCTGTTTGGATTTTAGAAGTAGTAGAATATGTGTCATAACTAAATTATAGTTGGTAAATTTATTCATTTTCATTTGTTTAAAAAACCTCATTATGTAAACACTTTATGCCTTTAAATCTAGGTACTAAATATAAAATGAATCTATTTTGTATATAAAATAATATTAATGAAATATTAAATCTATCAAACAAAGATGAGAACACTGAAATTAGTATGTAAAAATACTTTTACGCTTTTTGTGGTCAATACAATTAGTCAAACTCACTAATTTAAATTGACTGATTACAGTTTAATTAACAAATATTGTTACAATTCATTCATAAGTGCCACAAACAGTTAATTGGTCTATCAGTCAGGCTGTTTATGAGGCAGTGAAATTACATTCCTAGCATCCCTATCTCTTGCATGTAAAATGAAGACCCTTTGGAAACTATATAATTCCATTTCTTACTCACTCTACACATTTCTCTACGAAAAAAACAACATAAAAAGCTAATGCTTTTAACAAAATCCACCGAAAACGTTAACTGGAATTGTAAAGCTACATACTCATCTGAAATTCTGTACCATTATTAGCCTAGGAATATGGAAGTGATTGAAGAACTTATCAAGTACTTCTGCTTCTGATCTTCTCTCTTGAGCACCGATTATAAAAATAAACATAAAGTAGCCTAGTGATAGAAGAAGACAGATGCCAACCCCTTAAAATATTAGATGATAAATAATCAATCGTTTGACATTGATATTGTGAACGCAATAAAAAATATATTGATATTTAGTTGCTGAGAAACAGATCTTAAAAACATCAACAAATAAGTGTGCATATCGTGGTTTTTAAATTAATTTAACGATTCCGAAAAGTTTTACGCGGTAAAACACCAATTTTCAAGCCACAAAATAATGTAAATATTTTCATTTCAATCAAATAAATACAAACAGCTGTTCTCTTAGTTAATAGTATAAACAAAGATTACACATGCTACATTTTGCAGCATGTGCAATCAATCTTTGGTATAAAATTCAAAAATATTGATCTGTTCAAATGTAAACAAATATTTTTCCATAAGGATATATAACATGGAAACTAAGGATATAAAGAGGCTACTGGGACAGAGCCCTAATAGAATTTCTTGCACACCTAATTTGAATCTCCATATGCCAATTCCTGAGTTCTTGGTAAGTGGTTTTTTTGGATAAAGTGATCAGTGAGTCGCAGTGAGTGGTATTATAAGTATAGAATAGATGGATATAGATAGATTTCTTACTCATACACTTTTAGTAAAATGTGTATGGTTTTCAAAATGTGTGTGGTGTTTAGTTTGATTGAGTTATTTATTGATTGTCAATGTTGTTTGCTGTTAAGTGCAGTTAATTAGGTAAAATGTTCTTAATTGACCATCATTATTATTTTGTTTAACCACAGATTTTATTAAGGTAAATCTATTCAAGATAATACACTTGAGATCAAAAATGTAGAATGTAATGAAATGATTTTATTGTAAGTTTCATAATCTACGAAAGAAATAAAATAATTTTGAGGATTAAACTTAAAAATGTATAAAAATACATATGAAAACAACAACGACAACACCACTGTAGGTCTTGTAGTATATTGCTCCCATAAATAAACCCTTATAGAAATACTTTGCCTTGCAAATAGCTTTAAACAGGTATGAGCTAAAACACTAGATTTATAAACTCACAAAATTTATTAGTTTAATTAGTAAATTAAATAATTTTCAAGTGACACATAACATAATACCAACTGTGGCAACATCTTATTAAACTGAAACACATAGTTATAACTGTGTGCCAATAGCTGAAACACAACTGTAACTCAGTATTCTTAAGGGACCTCAGAGTCCTAATCAGCTGCTGAGGACTGGAGATATTTGAGTCAGCTGGTATTATTGGAAGTAAATGGCAATTGAATAACAAGCTTCTTTGTCCCTCCCATATAATTGTACCATTCAGGCTTCATAACCATTTCCTGCTGCATTATTACATTATCCTGGCTCTAAATCAATCTTGTATCACTGGAGTCTTGGGTAATATGATGAATATATAGTTCAATTTTTTTTTACATTAAAGACTAAAAATTTATACCGCAAACCACTTTTGGATACTGAAGTACACATCCTGTCTATATGGACCATCTGCAGTGATTTTTTAATTTAAATAATGTATTTCTATGAGCCACTCACAGAGACTAAAATTCTATTTTTACCCTTAGATTTTGTCACTAAGATAGTTTATGTGACATAAAAGATGCCATAGCTTAAAAAGTTGTTAGAAGTTTGACTTGGTTAAAAAGTCATTAAACAGAAATCAGTTATTTTATTGGCACGGGTTTCGGAGACTCAACTCACCTATGTCTATTTCAGATCAAAAACTGGTGACCATAACTTTAACGGAGATGGAATCACTAGTTCTACCAATAGTCCGTTAAATCCTATAATTAATCACCAGAACTCTGTTAAAACAAACTTTGCGATATTTGAAAGCCATTTAATAGTGGTATACATTAAGTAACACATTAACATTAAGTAAGTAAGTAAGTAAGTTAGTACAATTCAGAACTATTTTAGAAGGAATTTAGAAATATCTAGCTGATCAACCCATAGCATTTATCAAGCACCATAATGATGTACCATCTACCATGCTGTAAAGGATGTATAACGTACAATTATAGATACAAAGTCATATCCAGGATGTTAAATGTAGGGATTTTCAACCATAGAAGATTAAAAAAAGGTGTTAATTGTGTCAGGGACTCTTTTCCGTGCAGGTAGGTTTGCTACTCTGACAAAAATAACAGGAAGTGTAAGAACTTATAAGTTCTAACGAATCTGTTTTGTTACAGCGGATTGAACTTCCAAGACCTGATGGTAAGGCAAGGAGTCATCGACTCTCTACCAAAGACTCCATTCATCTTGGGCTTCGAATGTGCCGGAGAAGTAGAGGCTGTTGGAGAAGGTGTTGAGAAGTTTAAGGTAAGAAGAACAAGAATACTTATAACCATTGAATATATGATACCATAATACCATGCAAGTTGTGGTAGACACCGTTTAAATTTTAGGGCTGGATGAGAATCATCATTGTTGGTTTAGTAGGATTAACAAAAATATTCTGCTATGAGACTGTTTTAGATATATACAGTTTAACTTATACTACATACTTTCAATGGTCAATATATTCTAAATACGATTTAACCTATACAAATTACAAGAGTATACATTTAGGAGAGTTTGTCACAAAATTTAAATTGGTATATTATGTCGAAACAGAGATTTCATTAAGTTTAGTGCTATAACGTAGAGTTAGAAATAACCTAATTTAGTTTGGAAAAATAAGACATTTTTGGTTACCTGTATCCTAATTTGAATTCTTTCTTTACTCTCAATCTTACCAATGTCAAAGGTAATTTTCATAAAAGATTGGAAATAAATCAGTTTACTTCCATTGCAGTTGTTTTTATATTTTTTTATCGAATTTCAAGTTTGTGGTTTTGTTATTCTTTGGTATAAAATTGCAAAACCACCTTCTGAAACAAGATATCTTGCCAACATTTCTTTGATAAGTACCTATGCTAATTACTAGATTCCTTTCAATTGCCTCATTCCACTGGCAGACCTCAAGGTTATATGTCCTTGCCAAGCTGTTATCCATCTGGTATTTTGTGTTGAATATTTAATCAGTAACCTATAGCAAAGCAATGTCCATTACACAAATGGCTTAATTTCTTCTTCTCTGTGTGACTGTGTTAGTAATCAATTTCTAAAAATATTAACCATAAAAATGTGCAATCAATGTAAAAGGTACTCTTAGGTCCTTTCAGATAATTTCCTATCGGTTTGTTGGATTGTTATTAATCTCTTCCCTTAATTCAGTATTAGGTACAGTATTTATTTATAAATACCTTGTTCACCGTTAAGTTCATTTTGAGATGGTGAATAATTGGTAGGTGTTTTTCAAAGTTATGTCTGTCCGTGTGTGTATGTGTGAATGTGTACAGAGCTACAGATTTTCATTTTAATTTTTAATGGCGATTTTCCCAAAAAATCCAATAAAATAATGGAAAATCTGATTTCTTTTAAAGCCTGTTTTGATCAAAAACTAGGCTGTTGGTCCTTATAATTCTAATCAAAATTTTTAACCCCCCATTGCTGTAAAAATTACGGCCCAAAAGCTATATTGCAACTTTTGTGATTGTCCCTATAAAATATCATAGTTACTCCCACCGGTACCCATTATAAAGGTTGTTGACAAGCTAATGGGTAAAGTGTGTCACATTGCTGATACCATTTATTTCATATGCGATCAAAGGGGGTTCTAGTAGAGTGTATGAAAACAATTTCTCTTTACTATCCATTTGTACAAATTAACCTCAAAAGACACATGTCTCCAGCACAAATCACATGTTTTTGTTTTTGTGGAAACATCAATTTGGCGAATTTCTCCAAACAAATTAGATCTTCCACTCTCAACATCCCTAGTTTAAAGTTAGTAAAATTTTCACAAAATTACTGTATTTCTCAGTTAACAGTTTCAATATTCACACAGAAAATTACACTCTACTTATACAGAATATTAAATTTCTACCAAGGTTACCACGGCCATGATGGATGTGACAGAAGGCAATGGCCCAGTTATGGGTTGCTTCTGAGATTGAGAACTCTGAAGAAAGACCAAATTATGTTAGACAGTCAAGTCTTATCACTAATGATTTAACTGGAATGTCATCTGTCCAGAAAAACCTTGGAATACTAACAGTTTCACAACATTACTGTTTATTTCAGTTTCAACGAATTCCTATATGGATGTCTGTTGTGAATGATGTGGTGTTGATTGAAATGTATTATTTTTAGATGTTTGAACCCATTGTTTTCAATATGATACAAAATTTAAAATTAATACAGAAACTTATTGTTTACAAAGGGCTGTTTACGTTTTGAAACAGCATGGGTTTTGTGTAAGGAAATTGTTCATGGCTTTCAATGATGAAAGAATTCAGCAAATATGCCTCTAATTTTTACGAGTTTACATCTGCCTCTGTTGTACAGGTTGGAGACAGAGTAGTGGCTCTACCAGAGTACAAGGCATGGGCTGAGCTAGTCAGTGTACCTCAGACATACGTGTTTCCTCTACCGTCTGACATGAGCTTCCTGGATGCTGCAGCACTTACCATGAACTACATCGTGGCTTACATTCTGCTGTTTGAGCTCGGAGGGTTGGCTCCGGGCAAGAGCGTTCTGGTACACTCCGCTGGAGGTGGCGTGGTAAGGAAATAATTATTTAATCCATATTTAGTGTCGGGTATAACCCAAGATCAAGCCACTGACGGTTTGCCTGTTTCTAAAAGCCTATATGTAAACCAAACCAGTTAACATATGCGTTGGGGCCCTCTTGATCATATAAGAGGGCAACTTTTTTTTTAAGGAAATGCCTTTTTCGCGCATAGCTCCATAGTTTGTGTGTAAGTCACAACGAGGCAGTTAGACGCTTACTGGCATCATTGGTGCATCGAAGGGCGCCATTTGCAGCTCTTTAGCTGATGTGTAGCTTAGTGTTTTTTTTTACATTTTTAAAATTGGATCTCCAACAGCATGGGAGATAAGGTCAGTGAGACGTTTTTTGACCACAAGAAACATATCAAATGCCGACATTCATCGCCTAGTGAATGTATAGGGTTATGGCCCTTATGCAATCAGTGAAGGTAAAGTGCGGAAATGGGTTAGAATGTGTACAAATGGCCGGGAAAATCTTTTTCCTTTTTGGGCTTCTGTGAGAAGCCTGGGTGCCCACCAAAAACACATTGTCTTGCAAAATGGACATTTCCATGGCCATTTTAAACTCCCTAACCCAATTCTGCACTCATTGCATTAGGGTTTTCCGTCATCTGGCAATAAATGTCAGGAGTCTATATGTTTTTTGCAATAAAATACCTATCACTGACCTTATCTCGCATGACGCGGGAGATTCAATAATTTAACAAATTTTTAAGACACACAGCGTAGTGCAAATGTGATACAGAGCTGCAAATGGCCAAATGGCGCCGTTCTGTTCATCATAGTGATGCCAGTAAGTGGCGAGGATCCTGGTTGTGGTGAAAACGCAAATTAAGAAGCTATACGCAAACGGCCCTTACTTAAAAAACGTAGTTAAGAATTAGTGGGATTGAAATTTTATTGGATATGTCCCCTTTACTCAAATTTCAATATAAAATTTAGTTCAACATGGCAGATCAATGATTGCAGTTAAAAATGGTATCGTGCTGTTTATACGGTTCAAGCTAGTAATAATAATCAGTTAAGTATGGTCTTAGAAAATTAAATTTTAAATGTCTGTCTGATTAAAACCTCTCCTTGTCTACGGTTATTTTATTTGCTTACCACTCCTTATGAAGTTGATGGTTTATGCAACTAATCTATATATTAATACGCAAGCGGTTTTCTTTTCACAGTCATAACTCAATAACGGCTGGATGGATTTTAAAGTTTGAGGTGTCAAATTAAAGGTATTTTCACCTAGACGTGCAAATACGTCTCAGAATATTTAGAAAGGACACACCTTAAGTACACTAAAGGGATAAAGTTTGGAAGGCGGTGCTATCTGTTGACATTTGATCAAACTCATTTCCCTTTGTTTACAAATAACATATGGACGTAGTTTGAAATAGTTTTTAAGGTTAACCACAGACTGCAGGACTTAAAACTTCCAGAGCAAAGCTGGAATTTATATTTTGTTTCAATCTGTTAACTAAGTCTAATTCATAATGAAGAGTTTCCTATAGCTTGTGTTAACTTAATGAAGAACATATTTTTTATTCTTACAGTTCAGAAATGTTCATGATAAAATTTTAGAGGTTCTTCATTTTTCCAATAATTTTTTGTTCCATAATTTTTTCACGACTGAAATTCATCCAATCAGTAAGCCGAGATACTCTCAGACATAATTTATTATGTTCACTCTTCGAATAGTAAAACTGATTACAGGACTGTTTTACAAAACCGTAAAGAACATCTGTTTGTTTGGGAAGGTGTGGGTTCCAAGCCCAGTGATCTAATGCCCCCTTTCTTGTCAGGGAAAGCTTAACCAATTTGATTTCACGCTGTACTGTTGTTACGTCAGAGCTTGAAATCTGACTTCCTCTTCCGATCCAATTGATAGGGTATTTGTATTTCCTTGTGGGAATTACACATTTTAAAATTATTTAACCAAATGTACCTTTATCACTTTAAGGATCACTCAACAAAAATTATTCTTAAATAGAGTTGAATTTACAATTTTAAATTCCTGTTTTAAAACAAGTCGTTTTAATACTATAGTCTGAGTATGTTGGATGGTTCACTTGGTAGCACAAAAGGACTGCAAATCTATGGCAGTGTTTTGTGGGTTTCGCTTCCTGATGTACAATAAATCGTTTGCTGGATTTGTTCCACGCACAGGCTTAAGGCCCATGTGAAAGGGTAAATGTGTGGTTAAGAGAGGCCACTAACATAAGAAAATAAATAAACACATCTATAATAAGTCAATATTTTTCTGTAGGGCCAGGCCGTCGCACAGCTGTGTAAGACGGAGAAGGACACGGTAGTGTTTGGAGTGGCCAGCAAATCTAAACATGAAGCCATCAAGGATAGTGTCGACCATCTTTTGGAGAGAGGCACTGACTATACAGCGGAGCTGAAAAAGTAAGTTCTTCAGGCTTTTCTAGCTGCCGAATACTTCTGTCGGATTGTAAATGATTTACATGTTCTACCACCTGTGTTTTTTGATAATGTTGTTTTCCTAGAACGAATATTCAACTGCAGAGTTGGTTTATACGCCAGTTTTTAGTAGTCTGGTGACAGCAGTTTGGTACTTTTTTGACATTCTTGAAATCTGAATATGTTTTAAGCCTTTATTTTGGCACTGGCTGCAAACCAACATTACCTAAAGAGTACTTATAAATTAACCATAATTGATTTCATCACACCGCTAAGTTTTTAAGTAATGTTAGAATTCTTCTCAGTCCACAGCCCCCTTAAATTTTCAAAGTGATTCCGTAGATTTGAACAACTGCCCTAAAACAGCCTCTTCCCAGAATATAAAAATGTTGATATGAAGCCAATGGTGGTTTTAGTTAAGAATAAAAAATTTAACAAGTTAATTAATTTACATAAATAAATAAGTAAAATGTCTATTTAGCTAGCATTTCTCTGATCACTATTAATTATCTTCTAATTAAAAACTCTAAATATTTTTGTTTTTTATTTTAACACATTTTTCTAGGTGAAACTTTCTTTAGGCTCTAGTCTAGCTTAAATAATGCATTGTTCATTAATTGTGTGTAAAAAATTGAGACACTAGCCCTACGTTTTTAACTCCATGTTGTGATATAATAACTTCAAAATTAAAGTTTGTAATTCTAAAGCTAAACAATAAACAGTCATTACAATATATTCCAAGTTTGTAGGTGTTTAGCTAAACAATCATTGCATATTCCAGAATATCCCCGGATGGAGTGGATATTGTCCTGGATTGTTTGTGCGGAGAAGAATGCAATCGTGGATACTCCCTGCTGAAACCCATGGGAAAATATGTACTGTATGGTGAGTTACAGAAATATTTCTAGTTATAGTTTAAAATATAGTAATTTATATCTTATATGTACTTTTACTTAGATTTTAAGAACCAGTGAGATAGAAATTAGCGATTTGACAAGTCCATCTTTTATGAGTCAAAACATGAATTTACACGAGTAAATCTGAAAAAAAAAAAAAACAGAAACACACTAGTTATCACTCCATGAACCCATGTGGAGAATGCAGAACTTTAACACACGAGAGAAACCGGATGACTTGACTTGCAAAATCGAAACTATTGGTTGTGTAGCCGTTTTAGGTCAACTGATTACTACTGATTGATTGGGGGTGTAAAACTAAATTAAGCTTGCTGATTCTGCTACCAAATTAATTAATGGAAGACGTGTTGGGGACCAGAGGACGGAGATCTTTTACCCAGAATGGAAGCTTGCATAGCCAGCCTTGATTTATGCTAATACAACTAATTTACTAAAAACTATCCATCCAAGACTTGTGACCTAGAAAACGACTGTTAATGAAAAATTGGCTGGTGATTGAACTACTTAAATAGGAAATACCTAACAATTTATTGAAAAGAACTATGGAAACTTCTGGGGAAAACGTGTTGCCCTAATCCTGTTGCAGATCCTGAGGCTGAAGGCCTCGAACCGTAATTGTTAATTCCTACATTTTATCCTATGTCGGGACGACCCTTGTGGTCTCCCCCGTGTTTAACTAGCCTGACATATTGCTTAACCGCTAACTTATCTAATTATTGTAAACTTAGCCATTAGTAGGAATTCTAGACGAGCAGTTTCTTCTTAGACAGTTCTCGTTGCAGACCGGGGTCAAAGTGGGAAGAAGGTTGGGAAAGGTCGGTGGGGGAAGCCGTTCGCTTGCTCGCGGTGGGCTGACGAGTTCGCCATGCAGCCCTGCCACACGAAGCGCTGACACTATAAGGAATATAGCGTGCCGCTATGCGTCACAGTTGGGAGCGAATCAGACTCACGCGCTTGGCTGAAATCGAGTCTATTGGCTCATTCTATTAGAGTTTGGTCTGGCTGAACATGCAGCTTGTTAAACTATTAACAGAGTCCTAATAAGTACGAATCAACCACAACCAAGTGATTTTTCACTAATTCGTGTTTTAGTTCAAATTTATTACATTGTTACTTGACTTTTAAAATCATGATTTTTTTTAAATATCATATTTTTTACTTAAAAATATGCCTCTTTATAAAAAATTATTTGTTTTGAAAATTATATTACTTTAACTTTAAATTATATCTGTAGTTTGGACTTTAATCTCATTGCATTTCTGGATTAATAGTACTATATGTATCTAATGAATCTTAAATTTCTACAAACAACCAAATAAATGAATGCATTTTGTAGTTGTTGGTTTAGAAAAACAAGATGTATTCATAAGTTACAAATTTGCAATCATCACTTTCATTTAAAAGGTCGTAATATGTAACAGGTTGTATTGACTTATCACCTTTTTCAAGAAAGAGAAAAAGGTTCTTCTTTCTTTCAGAAGTAAGAATATTTTTATTACAACAAATATTAAATATACTCGACATACATGAATAGGCTAAGAAGCCTCAATATGCTCCTCAACCTTTAGGTATCCAGTGCCAGAGTGGATTGCCTAAAGTGTTGATATGATTTTTTTAGATGTAATACATTTTGATGTGAAATTAACTGACTTACGAAAAATGTACTAAATGTCATTTTTTGATTTAGCTTGTTAAAGAATCCTGTTTGCTTTTATACCAGCAAGTAGTATGTTTTGCCACTATAAATTTTAAATTCATTTCAGGATCAGCCAACGTAGTTACTGGAGAAACTAAGAGCATTTTCAGCGCTGCTCGATCTGTAAGTTTTTGTTTATATTGTAGTTCTAAGTACGTATTAAAATACCTACATTCGTATGGTCGCCATTTCAATGTAAAGTATTAAAGTATTACTATCAAAATTATAAGAGAGAGTGATCCTCTTACTCTGAAAAAATACTTCACCTCTTTCACTTGAAAAATACTTTTTAAGAAATAGTTCTTGCTTACAATATATCCTTTGTAGTTCATTAACACATGACCTAAACTATTCAACATTTCTCTATCAGCATGATTAAGAGAAAAAAAGAGTCAAAGATAGATCCTAATACAGTAGAACCCCAGTTAACCAAAAACGGGTAAACGGAAACAAAAAATAAACTGAAAAATTGGTTTATCCGAAACAGCTCTCCCCCTTTATTTCGGTTAAACGGAGTTCTACTGGGCGGTACATATTTTAACAGGTTCTACTGTTATTGAAAGTAACTGGTTTTAATTGCATTTGTACACTTCAATTTTCTCGATGATTGGTCATGGTTTCTGACCTCATTTAAAAAACTCTTGTCCCTTTCTTTTTTAAACTGACTTAATATAAAATTTAAAATGAAGTCATTATAAGGTTAACTACGCACATTACAGATAAAGTATTTCATATCTGGATAGTTTTGGGATTTTTCTTTCATAAAAGGGATTGCTTTACTAGTTCTAAATTATCTTCCCTGACCTGTTGCAGTAGAGGTGGGCACTATTTGAAGTAATATGATAAATGATACTATGTGTCACCTATTACCTTGGTAATACGGATTACTGAGAATATACCCTATTAATTTTTAACGGATTCTGATCTGTTTGAACGAGCAAATTAAAAACCTGTCCCTTTGATAGTGTCTGCCTATTTACAGCGATCGGCTGCAACGTACTGGCCGAGAAAGTAATAGGTGACGAAAAAATATTGTATTATTTCACCTAATACCCTAATACCGAATATATAGGGAACATCCCTGACTAATATCACAAAGTAACCGTATTAATTTCCCATCTGTGTTGCAGTGGTGGCAGGTAGACAAGGTATCTCCTATCAAGTTGTTTGACGAGAACAAGTCACTCAGTGGTCTAAACCTCCGCCACTTGATGTACCAACAGAACCGAGCGTCTTATGTGGCCGGACTCTTCGACACTGTCGTCAAACTCTGGTCGGCTGGCAAGATCAAACCTGTAGTTGATTCTACATGGGCTCTCGAGGATGTGAGTGAAAAATTTTTCGTTGGATGTTATACAATTTTATAATTCAATGAATGCATGAAACTCTTTTTTAAACTAGCTAAGCAAAGTCGCATGGCTCTTTTTACATTTCTATTCATTCATTGCAAACATAGTATTTACACTTTTAAATCCTAAACTGTTTCACACTCAAGAAGTAACACTAATTCAAAAGCAAAAACTAGCCCGAAGCTATATTGCTATAGGTACATTATTAAATGCAACCACAAAACATGGAGGACTACCAAGCATTTTAATGAGAGAAATCATTCCGAAGACGGCAGGCAGTTACAATGGCCGTGTCATATACTGTCTATGAAGGAATGAGCAACGTAAAAAATGAAGTGTTTGACCTTCTCAAACAACTATTAGCTGCAAAGCTGACATTGCTTTCAGAATATTTCGGCAGTATATTTAGTAAAATATAAATTTTAACGAGTAGAATAATTGTGTTGTGTAATTTACTTGCTTAAAATACGAGGGCTATCCAGGTGAGTCTGTGGCTCAGTTGGTAGCGTCACGGACTTCGGGCCCAAGGCAGTGATGTCGTGGGTTCGGATCCTGGTCACTGCCGCAAACATTTTATCAGTACAGTTCACCTTCGCACTGTACCAGCTCACCCCTTGCTTTGCTGGATACGTTCCACGCACAGATCTTTTGTCTATGTGGACTGGCAAATGCGAGGTTAAAAAAGGCCGCCAACCTCTTAAAAAAAATAACAGATGTTTTGGCCTGGTACCGTACGTAGCAGTGGGCAGGGCTAGCTCAGACATCTTGGCACCAGAATTTTGCTACTTTCTGAAATTTTGTTCTCACATCATTATATGTACTCAGGTGCCAGAAGCAATGCAGAAGATGCATGATCGCAAGAACGTCGGGAAGATTGTACTGGACCCGAGTCTGGAGCCTAAGCCTAAACCTGCAACTCCTGCCAAGGGGAAAGCCAAGAGCATTGATAAGGATGATAAGAAGAAATCTGAAGATGAGTCTAACGATTCCCCACCTCCATCAGCAGGTATATAATTACAATTTCTCTAAAGCAAAATTATAGAATTATAGAATAACCATACTCATAGATTTTGTCATCCTTATGAATAAGCAGAAGAAAATGTTAACACATTCAGTGCCAGGTCTCACATAATCTCATACAAAGGAGTGTGGCTGCTGGTAGAAGGCGGTAAGTGTTACAGTAAGTTTGAGTCTGCTGCCTGTAAAAGGGTGTTTTTGCCTAAATTTGTTTATTGTAAAGCAATCTAATAGATTGCCCTCTTTTTATAACCCAACAGTAAAGCAAAAATGGGTTTATATTTATTTATTCATTAAGAAGTATATACATTAAACAGCATTTGAATAGTGTACAACATTACTTATTAATATAAATTTAAAAAATACAACTTCTTAAATGTTTCTTTAATAATCTAGTATTCTTGAGGGAGGTGAAAAAATTCTTCTAGAGAATAAATGGCCATGTTTATCAAGTTATGTTTTAGTTTTGTTTTAAATGTTGTTAGATTTTTGGAGTAGCGAAAATTTTACCCTGGAATTTTACCCCCTGGGCGAAACTGACGTCGCAAACCAGGGGGTAAAAATCCGACTGCAAACTTTTAGTTGCACAACATCAGTTCAATAGATTAAAGGTAGAATTAAACTTATATTTTCACGGTTGTAAATTTAATCAGAACACATCAAATTATAAAACCTATATAGTGTACAGGCCAGAATGGTAAAAATTCGGGCCATACTTTTATAGTTGCTTAAACGCTAGTTAAATAAACAGGGGGTAAAATTCTGTTTTTATTGTGATTCTAATTTATCATGCTCAGTCTATTTTCATTAGACTTCCAAATCTGCGTGGGTAAAATTCTTTAGAGCGCTCAGGTTACTACGTTATAGTGACGTCAGCTTTGCCCAGGGGGTAAAATTCCAGCAACCCAGATTTTTATGGTAATTTTGAAAATTGTTTTTAAACTTTACCAGCAAATTATGGGTTTTTTTATAATTTGTGCCTATTTCACAACGGATTATTTACATTGTTTCGAGAAACAATGTTTACTTGCCTCCGTAAACATTTCTCTCATGTGTTGCAAACGCACTTTGCGCTCCCGTTTAAGCGTTGAATGAGAATAGAATGTTAACATGAAGCAACAGGTTGAGTCGTTGTATCAATGAATACTCAAAGGCTGTGAAACACTGCACCAGCTGATTGTAGTCATAGTATCTCTAAGTGTTGCCAACTTATTTTCAAGCGTATGTACATGTATTTTGAGCCTTATTAAAGCACACTGTTTTGTGTTTGATTTGGAATATTGGAAAGTGGTGGTAATGTAAAATGAGTGCGGCAAAAGTAAATGCAGTAAGTAAAGTAAATGCAGCAATTAGCTACTTTCAGTGCAAGGAAGCCTGCTTTGTCAGGTAACTGTAGAAAAATATTACTTCTCTTTAACCTTTTGTCTAGTACTTGATATAGCTGGTTTTCTCAACAGCAATATATTTGGTTTCAGATGGGAAGGAAAAAGAAGAAGAAAAGAAGTCGAGTTGAGGAGATACGGAGTAAAGTCGCAGCCTTACGCACCCAACTCTTCAATCACTTGGTTCCTTTCTTCAGCACTTTATTTTTCTCACTTTTGTATTCTGATTCACTGCCTTTTAGATTTCATAAGTTGGGAAATTAATTTACCAGTCATGTATGCATTTAGTCAAAACTATGTTTTTAGAAACATTGTACTTGTTTATTATGGAGAAAGAGATATTTTGTTAGCTATTTGCAGACTCTGTCACACTTAGTGTTTTTGAACTATCAGTCTGTAAGCTGGTAAATGGAACATATTAAACCATGGACCATTAATGGATAAGTTATCTGAACGTAGTATTATCGTTGTGATTCTTATCGCGTTTTAACCAAGATTTTCAATTTCTGTAAGAAAGTTTTATTGTAGAGTAGATTAGATTTATGTTGTACATTGTTTTAGTCGTATTACTGATATTTTTATACATAGTTAATCGAGTTATTATATGTTTTGTTGGTTAATTATCATTAATATACAACTTTTAAAATATTGTTATCGACCGGTGACTCATTAGCATGTATTTCTCAAAATGTGTTCATAACTCACCCTAAAGCTCATTAAAAAGTTATTAAAAAAAAAACTGTTCAAAAGAGAAATATGTGTTAATTGGTACGTTCACCTTAGGCTAAGTAAGATATAACTAATTTTGTTTGATTTATATATTTTATTATTGTCACTTAAGCCGATAAATGTAAATTGTAATGTATATAAGCTTAAAATTTCAAAGATGCTTTTTGGGAAATTTTTAATTAACAGACTTTAAATATTGCTTAGCATATAGGAAAAGATTGTTTACACAATACTCAAAACTGCAAACCCTTGTATTATCGATTAACATTTTAATTAGGGATGATCCATTTTAAAACGATTTGTACACGGATCAAATAGTTCCTTTGACACAAAAATATAATCACAATCATATTATGAAAATTACTGCATCGACACATATTATTGGCTGTGAATCACAACTGTTTGAGATAGTTTGTAGAAATTTTTAAAATAACCGTCCTTTTTTAATACAGTAGCCAAACGTTCAACTACATAAGTTAAGATTTCTACATCTAATGCCTTCCATAACGGCCTTAGGTAGAAAATCATCCCATACAAGAGATTAGAAAATAAAACTAGGGCTATAAAACCTAGTTTGTTATTTATTTTTCGTCAATGTTTTAGCTAAAACCAAAATTACGAATACCAACAAAATCTAGGTGAAAAGATGTAATTTTTCTAATAGCAAATGGTATTGTGTCCTATTATAACATAGATCTAGAAAAATCATGTTTTTAATGTTTTGAAATTTTTCTTAGCTAGTTGAATTAATACAATATATTTTAAAAACACAATCAGGTGAATATTTTTTAGAGGTGTATGAGAATATTAAATAACTATTTTTGTCAGTTTAAGTGCTGTCCGGTGCAACCGAGTTAACATGTAACTTAGTATTAAGTATATTACCAAAGTCTCGTAACGTAGCTAACCAGTGAGTGTGTGGCGATATGTGTCTATCACAACTATCTATGTCGTTCAATCTTACCTGTATTCCATCTGCTTTGTCTGTATTCTATTTTAAACGTATTTTACGCTGTTTTATATTTGTGTACACGCATATTTAGTCAGAGCCGGATGAAGCAAGATCTTCGTAGCTGTTCCGTTGGTACGCTTTTGCGTGGGTGTGTGTATGGTTACAATATAAGGATCTCTGAAAATACAGGATACATGACCAAATAAAGTTTAATGTTTAATATTGATCGTTTTGTTTTAATTCACCTGACATCCCGTAAAAATTTGAAACTTCCGCATAAAAAGAAAAATTTGTTTCAGTTCTTATTTTAAAATGTGGTTTAATTTTTCCTGGTTGACAAACTCATTTAAGTAGATGTGGCTCCCATACACAAAAGAGAAAAAAATTGGTATTTGGTTCTATACAATTTTGTATTTATTTTTTATGTGAGGAATGATGTGTTGGTACGCTAAAAGTAACCAACAAATTTATAAATACAGGGTGTTATAAATGTATATGTGTATAAAAGAATGCCGACATATTAAATAATAAATGCTTGGATACTATCATTGACTAAAAACAGAATAGTTATGTGTCTCAACTAGCAGAGCACCCGTCTTTCTTACGGGGTTGGCATATAAGTATAAAATGCTTATTGCAGTTGTACTTAAGCTTTGCGTTTGCTAAAATTTGGTTCATAAATTTACGGTATGATGTAATATAACACATCTACCATTGCCATAATGTTATACCATTGCACCTAAACAATAAAAAAAATAAATTATCAAACATTTGCACAATATCACAAATTATTCATTAAATTAAAAACTCAAACCTAACTGTAAACAATCCTACTTTGACAGTTCTCATTGTGTATCACAGCTTTTGTTGCTGCTTGGTTCAAATTAGCTGTTGTCATATATGCACAAACAAAATAATAATAGTGCTGCACCCTGTTGGGAAACCTTATAACTTTTTAATGCTATTGCATATTATAGAACCAACTTGTAAAGTTGAAACAGCTGACTAAATTTCTTTAATTCCCTTTAAATATGAATACTCATAAGGTTAACATGGGGAACTACAGACGCACTGGGGCGGAGCCCGAAAGGATTTTTGAGATAACAATATGCCTAAATGTTAATAGGGAATGTGAGCTATCATCATGCCAAATTTCAGCCCAATCTGTCCAGTAGTTTATGCGTGATTGAGCAACACACAAACTTTCAGATTTATAATATTAGTAAGATGACGCTATTCTAGGTAACTAAATTTTTTATACGTCAAATTGAAGCTAAAACAACTAAGTTTTGTTGAGGAAACTTTGACCTTGGAATGCGCAAAACAGGTGCAGGGTGGTAGGCCGCTATTGCGTCTCACATATATAGTCAATGGTCTCACACACCCGACACCAGTACAATGTTTATGGCGCAACAGAAAGCACAGTGTGTAATCTGTGGTTTACAGAGTTTTTATCGATTGCTAAATCAAACTAAATTTAAATCTACTTGATAAAGAAACTTGGAAGCTGTTTTAATGAGTTTCGTGGCACAGTAGTGTTTTGAATAGACATTCACCAGGCCGGCTAAAAACAAGTGATGACAATAGTCTAATAGGTCCGATAATTCTGCATCAGAAGCAAAAAAAAATCGATTGTCCAACAAAGTCTTCAGTTTAACATACCTAAATCAACACTTCAAGATGCTATTATGTAAAAGAGTCTTTGTGCCTAAAGAGATTCAGTTAAGACATCAGATAAACCTGCCGATTGCACTAAGTGTACAGACTTAGCCAGTTTTACGCTCATATAAGATTGATGAAAATCTGAATTTTATTGAAAAGTGTAAAAGTATGAGAAAAAACTGTCTTCTTTCCACTTCAATTTGACGTTTAAATAATTTAATTATCTTGAATAGTCCCCGATCTATGAACATCTAAAATCCCGGTATTCTTTTATAAACACCCTGTACTTCTTTTTCTTCTTACAATATTGATGGGTATGTCACACTTAGCACCTTCAAGTTTTGCGATCTTAGGAGTCCTTATGCCCTAAAATAAGCTATCCTAAAGAGTCAAGTTCTGTTTATAATTCAACCATAAAAAGTTAAGATTTAATGTTTAAAACCCTTCCCGGACGGGTGACGGATATATCCGCATAAGTCATTAGCGATTAAGGACGGGTGACGGATATATCAGCCTATGGTTTTTTATGTTCCGGACGGGAAGCGGTTATATCCGCCTTCTTTTCAGACAGACTGGCAGGTACTTAAACAGTAACCAGATGTTTCGCGGTAGTACCAAGGCGCCACTTTCCTGCTCTATCCATGGCTGCGCTCTCTCTCGCACTCCCCCTCTCTCCCGCGCCGCCCCTTTCTCCCTCACACCAACCACCTCTCCTACACCCCCCACGACGTTTCGCGCTCAACACCACGTTGTCTCTGTGTTGGCGCCAAACGTTACAGTTGTCTGTCTAGCAGAATGAGATAGTGATGCACGATGGCTTATAACGTAAATAGTACTAGTTTTTCTGGTGATATTATTGAGTTATTGAACAAGAGTTTTTCGGAGGGTGATGTTGCTGTTGATGGAATGGAAGTGGACGAAGATGACAACATATCTGTGCGTAGTTGTGATGTAAATAATGCAAATATCGATGGAAATGATATTGATATAGTAAATGGTTTTGTATCCGAAAATGACAAAGACGCTGATGTTCCTCAAGATGAATGTAATGTGGTTCAAGTGGAAAGTATTAGTGATGAACAAGTTAGTGAGGACGATATTGGGAATGCCTCAAGTTTTATTGACTCGGAAAAAGAAAGCCTTCATAGTTCAACCAATGAATCTACAATGGCGTCCAAAAAGTCATTTGCAAAGAACTCTAAAAAGCCATCTAAAAAGAGGTCTACAGAGGCACAACAACCAAATCTAACTAAAGCTAAACTCCTTCGTATGAAGTGGGATAAGGAGTATGCTTTTGTTACCGACAGTGACAGTGGACCTGTAAGTACTATTCCTATTTATAACTGCAATTACGGTCGTAATCTGCCTACAGAATTTGATCTCACTTCAAAACCAATTGATTTCTTTTCACTTTACTTTCATAGTAATCTAATACAATTGATTTGTGATGAAACCAACCTATATGCTCAAAGTTTGCCTATTCAAAACCAAAGGAAACAAAAGGTTTGGGCTGATACAACAACCACAGAGATCCGAGCTCTTCTCGGGGTTGTACTGAATATGGGACTTCACCCGTTGCCTGATATAAAGGACTACTTTTCATTGTCCTGGGTAAACAAGATGCCCTTTTTTTCCGATGTTTTTACTCGAGATAGGTTTTTGATGCTGTTTTGGAGATTACACTTTAGTCATGAACAGGGAAAAGCGCACGTGACCTCAAAATAAGAAATATTGTGAACACAATTCAAGAGCAATGTAAACTATTCTATACGCCAAGCTCGTATGTGTCAGTGGATGAGAGCACTATTTCATTCTAGGGCAAGATTTCATTCAGAGTTTACAACCCCTACAAGCCTGTAAAATTTGGGCTAAAAGTGTTTGTTCTTTCTGATGCTCTGAATGGGTATATTTACAGTTTTAGCCCATATTACGGTAAAAGTGATGGTTAACGAGGATGAGCTTTTGAAAACTGTTGCATATAATAACTATTGGACTATGTTTATTATATTTAGTACTCTTTGACTTCCTTATGAGAATTCAAATGTTTTTGTTTTACATATGGTTTTCTGTTGTTCATTAATTATTCTGTAAATAAGTTTGACCAATTTAGTACATTATAAAAGTTTCTTCCAGTAAAGTATTCTTTTCATTTCATTCTATTTAACTTGTAACAATAGTATTTTATAACAGGTTATGGGCCCAGACACCCTTATATTGTGTGTTACAGGTTTTAAATAGAATAATTTATTGCTTGAGATAAAATCTTTAGTATGGAATTTGTTATGCAGAAAATGGAATTGCTGCATGGAAAGGACAACTGGGATGATTGGAAATATCTCATGCAAATTAGGCTTAAAGGAATCCCAGATGCATACGAAGCCATTTCTGGTAAAATGGAATTGCCAGAGAAACCTAAAGATGAAACACAAGCTGCAGAAATGAAAGAATACAAAATGAAGATGGATAAGTATAACAAAACACAGTCAGAAGTAATGTTTATGTTAGCATCTTCATTAAGTAAGGAAGTAAGAGCTCAGGTAAGAAACCTAGAAAAACCAGATGAGGTTTGGAAGGAGCTGCATAATCTATTTGCGGAAATAGAGGAAAATAAAGCCTATGATATATGCTCTCTGTTCTTCACCTACAAATGGGATCAACACTTGGATATGGCTGGGAACCTATCTGCAATCAAGTCATTATGGGTAAAGCTTCAAGAAGAAATTAAGAAAATCCAAGACAAGAAAGAAGATAGTTTACCTCAGATATTGTTGATTTGCAAGATTTTTGAAATCCTACCAGCAGAATATTCCAACTTTCAGACAACTTGGTTAATGATTCACAAGGATAAAGCGAGAAACCTTGACAATCTTACAAATTGGCTGTGTACAGAAGCAAGAAAGCTGACTTCAAAGGAAAATGAGAAAGAAGATACAGCTTTAATGGCGGTCAATAGATCTAAAGAAGCCAAAGGTAACATAGTAGGTGTACAGAAAAACAGCAAAAACAATGATAAAAAGAAAAAGTTTCCATGCCACTATTGTCACAAGAAAGGACATTGGTTGCAAGAGTGTCAGAAATGGATAGCGGATGGAAAACCTGAAAGAAAACCTGAAAGAAAACCTGAAAAGAAAAGCTTGGAAAAAGAATCCAAACAAGCAGCACTAACCATATTAAGTAATTGTGTTTTTCAAACCCAGAATACTACCGCATCACATGATTGGTACGTGGACAGTGGTGCTACCAACCATGTTAGGTACACATTGTAGGGAAATGTTTACTGACTTTGAACAATTTGAGTTACCTCATGCAGTTACAATGGCAAATGGACAACAGACAAGTGCTATTGGTAGAGGAACAATTTGCATGGAAGCAAATTTGGATGGTATTTGGAATACAGTAAAGCTAACCAATGTATGGTATGTACCTGGTATTTTTGCAAACCTATTTCCAGTAACCGCTGCTCAAGATTTAAATGTAAATAGTAAATTTGTATCGACATCCAAGGATTGCACTTTGTTTGATAGAAATGGTAAACCACTCATCAAAGGACATCGAAGTCAAGGC